TCTTACGCACAAAGGAGTGTCTCTGGATTTCTTTCTCTGGTTAACCCGACCTAACACACCAGACATATGAGACTTCAGCCCACTTTCCCATGCCCTTGCAGAAAGGGAGAGTGGGCCATGCTTTGGCCAGGATTCCCCATCACCCAGCTTGTACTGGGGCCAGACGGAGTTGCAGAAGAACTGGGTCAAATCTAGACCAATCAGGATGTAGTACAGAGGCATTCCCCAAGGAACAGACTCCTTATTGTCCATTGAGAAACAAACAGCAAAAAGAGAGCCTGGCACCCTGGAGTCCTAACCAGAGGTTCTGGAGCCATGGAACCTGCGGGCCTCAGGTGGACATCTCCATCCTTGGTGGTGTTGGGACTAAGCCTTGGGTCATTGACCAAGCCCTGAACAGTTTCTAAACAGCAAGTCAGTCACTCGGAAAGCACTGACTAGTGGATGGCATCATCAGGACCTGTCTACTGGATCGGTCTGAATGCATTCACCTCTAGGGAAATTGGGATCTTTGGCCATCCATTCAGTAACTCAACAGAAATGAAGCAAGGATGTAAATAGCCCAGTTATGGGCAGTGATAGTTAAGTTTATTGTGCCAAGTAGGCTCCTGTAGGAACATGTTGGTGGAGTTTAATTTAGTTTCAGCTTGATTGGAGGGCAATTGAGATAAGTGGCTCTGTGAAGCTGGACTCTTCCTCTCTCTCCCTGGTGATTGGACCAGCACGTTGCCGGAGTTAGCTGCTCTGCTTCAGCCACATGCTGTACTACCTGTGGGTGGTTCAGTGGTCTGCTCCACCTGGGCAAGGCAACCCGCGAACCGCGGTGTACTGCGTTGCTGTGCTGTGTTGCTCCACGCTGAGACACCACCCCACCCTGCTGTGTCTGCTGCCTGTGGGCCAATACTGCACTTCCAGCTAGCCACTTGGTATTGCTATATCGTGAGGCTATGTAGTAGGGCTCCACTGAGACCTGCTTTGCCTCACTGCGCTACTGGGCTCTGCTCTATCTCACCACTTCAGCTTCCCACTTCCCACTGCATGGGTCTTGAGCAAGTGGCTGTGTGAGTTAGAAAGACCTTTGGTATATTAACTGTCCCACGAAAGTAAGCTGGACTGAGCTCTATACTGTTGTGTGGACTCATTTGCTTATCGTTTTATGCCTTATCGCTATATAAGCCTCTCTCTCTCTCTCCTATATATCTATATCTATATTCATGTTGCCGTGTCACAAGTCAGTAAGAGTAACTACTTGCCATTGATTTAATGGTGACTTACGGTGACTCCCTGGGCACCCAAGTAGAAATGTGCTCCAGAGACTTGTCAGTGGCAGCTTTTTCATTAGGTGGTAGATTTGAACCTTCAGTCTTTCCGTTAGCAGTCAGTACATTCACTTTTTGAACCACTCAAGTACTCTATGAGATGGCACATAGCAAAAGGCCACAGAGCAGATGGGAACAATTTAAATAAGTCCATTGCAACCAAAGCTTAATAATAAAAGGAGGGATTCATTGTCACAGTAGTAATCTAAAGGGGCAGATGGCTGGTGTGTATGTTTCAGGG